CCCCCCTCCTTGGGCGCGTCTTGGTTTTGCAGTTAGGGAAGAAAGCGATATATATAGTTCAAGGTTAACTTAAGTGGTTAATTTAAGATTAATTAAAGGTTAATCGAAGACTAACTGATGCAAATCAAAACAGAGGTCTGCAGTGAGAACAACGGGGTGATATACTGTTGCAGGTAAAATAGTTCTCGCAGTGCCTTTAACTATGTCAAAAGCATCACTGCTTTCTGTTCTGGAATTTCTGTCGTTTTTCCCTCTGGTTCGTGCAATGTTCCGAAAAGCCTAAGCCAGGTAAAGGTACTCGAAGTAGTTCTTCTTGATGTTTGTTTTGGATTTGCAGAACCTAACTTCCAGCCAAAAGAAGGGCAGCTCGTCTCCATGAAAGGCAAATACAGTTTAGCCCCTACTCTTACAATGCCCTTAGGTGTGTTGTTTCATAAGTATGGCTTTTTATCACTTGGAGCTTGCATCTTTTCACTTGCTCATGTAAAATGGAGGTGGCTCGGTGACTGTATAACAGGATAACAGTTACTTACCAATGAATGTGATAAACCCAAGCCCTTACGCACACTGCCTCAAGATGTATACACTATTTGCACCTTCACTGTTACGGGATATAATGTTGCCCTTGAAAATGAAAACCACAGTGTCTTTCAGAATCCAGACTGCGTTCCTGTTGTTTGTAGCAGGACAACAAATCTGAACTGCTCAACCTGAGCAAGACGATACGTACCAGGCTGAAAACAACTCTTTTTGGAGGAACAAGGGATCTGCAGTTTGCCATAGACTTAGAATAAGATACTAGAAATACTTTATGAGAGTTATTTGACTGCCTGAAATCAAGGATCTTTTGTGCCTGTTAATATAAACTTTAAAATAGTACCCTTTACTCCTTTTCAGCTGTTGCTAGGCACACAGTAATAGCTTGCTTCATGATGTTAATGGGATATTCGCCTAAGTCTTGGAGACTGCAGTTCCTTGTGAAAGATGCTTCTGTAGTGATTACAGCTACATATCTCACCTGACAGTCTTATTCTTAGCCTCAGTTAACATCAAATTATGCACTTCACTGAGTAGAATATAACAAATTTTTAAAATGAAGTTATTTGTGATGCTTATTAGCTTGTTCCTGAATGTGAAATATTTTAACTCTTGATACTAAAATAAATTAGTATGGTTAGAATTTTCAAATTCAGTTTAATTTCTCTGCAATTAAAAATCTAGGGAAAATGGTTTCTCCTTTCTGAGTTGTAAATAAATGCCTTTATTTCCTCCATCAGATTGCATGTGAATCCCTGACCGTTCTTCTCAGTACTCTGAGAGAATACCTCTGTTACCTTGTGTCAACTGCTTAAAAAAAAAATTAACACTGACTAGTCTTTTAATTAACAGCTGACATGTTAGTATGTTCAGCCGTCAGTGTGTTCTTCTGTTTGATATAGAGGGTTTTGTTAATGGAAGTAGCCTTCTTTTGCCAAAGAAACTAATGGAAGACCTGACCTCTAATTTAGTAGTTGCATCTCAGTTTCGCACTCTGGTTTGAAATGGGAATCCCACTTACAAAGTTTGGGAACTGAGCAGCTGCTAACTTTATTCCTAAATCCTTCTATGTGAAGTGAGCCTAGCAAATAAGTGACTGTAGAGTTTGAAAGGTTTAAAAATTATTTGCCAAGACAATTGCCTTTGAAAAGAGTTTTACCCCCTATAGAGGGAGACATATAATCTTCCATTTTTAACCTTAAAAACACTTAACCACACAAGATTATTAAAACATAAAAGTTACTTAAGTCAAAGTAAAGCACAAAATAAGTGTTATGGATCTGCAGACTTACTAAATCAAATTTCTTTGTTGGAATTTGTCAGGGAAACTTATGAACAGAAGTCTTTCCTCAGATACTATATTTCTATTCTCAGCTAGTACGAGATCCTGCAGCAGTTCTTCCTGAACTCTGCCAGAAAAGCAGATCACTTTCAACCCAGAACTTTTTACAGATTCTTCTGCACCCTTATCAGGCTTCATACAATTTTCAAAGGAAAGGTGAAATCATTCACAAATCATTTGTTCATGCACCAGAAACACCATATTGAAACCTTTTTTACAATGTAAAGTTGAAATGGAATTCGAGGAGTGCTACCAAAACTTTGGAACAACTTACCCATCCTCCTAAAAATGCAATTAAGCGTTTGCAATTAAAAAAATACCTTATATTTTAACTGGAAGTGTTTTCATTTGTGTTCTTTTTCTTGCAGCACCTGCCACCGTTCGTTACGTCCATAACGATGTAGCGGTTCCCGACTTCTCTGCCTATCGTCGTCAAGACGTGTTAGATGCCACCACGTCTTCTCAAAGCAGCAGCGAAGCTAGAAAAGGGTTTTCCTACCTGGTGACTGCAACAACGTGTGTAGCTTCTGCATATGCTGCTAAGAATGCTGTCACTGAGTTTATTTCCAGCCTCAGTGCTTCTGCTGATGTGCTAGCGTTGTCAAAGATTGAGATCAAGTTATCTGACATTCCAGAAGGCAAGAACATGGCTTTCAAGTGGAGAGGGAAACCCCTTTTTGTGCGTCACAGAACCCAGGCAGAGATTAATCAGGAAGCTGAAGTTGATTTGTCTAAACTGAGGGATCCACAGCATGATTTAGACAGAGTACAGAAACCAGAATGGGTTATATTAGTAGGTGTCTGCACTCATCTTGGTTGTGTACCCATTGCTAATTCTGGAGATTTTGGTGGTTATTACTGCCCTTGCCATGGGTCGCATTATGATGCATCCGGCAGAATCAGGAAAGGCCCTGCTCCCTATAACCTTGAGGTTCCAACTTACCAGTTTGTTGGTGATGATGTAGTGGTTGTTGGCTGAAAAACAAGATGCTTGCTCACTTTCATGTTCCAGTGAATGTACACTGCAGGGGTAACTGAGATTCTGGAATGCTGTAAAACCAGAGGATTCTAAAACCATGTTAACTGTCCAGATTCTCAACCCAGAAGTATGTTTGAATATTTTCTTGTGTTCAGTTTTAATAAAAACTTGAAGTGAGTGAACACTTGTTCCTGACTTACGATGAAGTGTATTTGTGTACTGACTTATCATGGAAGTGTCTAGTCCCAGGAGATTCCACAGCATATCAAAAGTGAGCCCTCCTGAAGGGATGCTGATTCAAGACAGATGCTCAAGTACAAAACCATTGTTTTGTACCATATGTTTTCATTATTTTTAACTCTTATTGCGCTATGGGAAGAAATACCTTTTAAAAGATGTTGCTGAGAGCTTCTAGCAGTGGTTGGAGTCTGTTAGTTTCAACTTAGAGTCCTATTAGACGTAATCAATTTCCTTCTACTCTTTTTGTATTTCCAGACAGAGTGAAGAGAATCATAAATGAACAGCCACTGGGAAGAGAAAATTCTTTTACATTTTTTAAAGGCAGCTTATAATTGTTTAGCTGCCTGGTTGGCATTGTGATTTTTATGGTGACGTGGACAAACGTGTCATGTTAGAATTACAAAATAATTCTTTTGGTTCTAGGTAAGGCTTGATCTTGTACCTCTGTAATCATGAGATCGAGTTCTTAGGATACCATGGAAAACTTCTGACGCTTTTCCAGAAGAAATGGATTAAGAAGGAAATAAAAAAGGAAAATCCAGGTTTTCCACACTGTGGAAAAATAAGTTATAAGAACCACTCAGTCTGAACTAATCTGTAACGTTAAAGATAGCAAAGGTTAAGATGCGACAAGATAGATTTTAAGACTCAACCATTTGTGCAAAAGTGATTGTTTCATATTGCCTATAGGCTAAGCTCAGTGAAGGCCCAAACTTTGAAACCTCCTTTATTTTGATACTGACTGAAGGCAAGGAGGACAAACGTAGCCTGAAACCATTAAGTCTTTAACCAGCGTTGGTCCTGCCAGTACAAAGCAAAGCCAGCAATTAAGAACCTACGGCACATGAGGAGAAATAAGGTTTGCTGTTTCCAGGAAAACAAAACAAAACAAACTTATTTTCTGCTTCTTGTTTACTCGTCCTGTACTGCTGTTCCATCAATGCTTTTGTCTTCAACTGCGTTATGTATTCTGTCAGTTGAAAAGCAGAAAATACGATCCTCAGAATTCCCTGGGGCTGGGATGCCTTGCCTTATACCCAGTGTAAAGCTGTGATGACAGCAAGATTAAAGCTGAAGATTTAAATAGACAGATTAATCAGAATATTGATGACTGCAGCTCACCTATTGTCAGCCAATTCAAGTAGTGGAAAAAAGATGATAAAGGACTATCGCACAAGTTCTTAGGTATGCATCTCACATCTCATAAATTTGGCCTTTACTTTAGTCCACTGTGTCCACAAAAGCATTATTGGGGGCTGGGGGTGTACAATGAATCACGCTAAACCAGTAATGAAAGAGAAGTTCCCAGACTTGTATCTAAGTAATTGGTATGCGTGTAAAGGATGGATCTGCCCTCAAGTTCTGGATTTCAACCAAAGAAGCCTACTAACCCCTTAAGTAGCAATAGCCTGTTGCTCATTAGCTCTTATATGGCTAGTCTTACCTCATCCTAAAAATGCCTTCTTAGCTCACAGGTCATTACTTAGGATCTCTGCTTACCTTATCACTAAGTAACTGCTCTAACAGTAACTATGCCTCCTGTAAAGCAAGGAGGGGCCAGGTCTGTTTCTGAGTTCAAAAGTGACCACAGGGAAATCCAGAATAATTATGCCCCAGCTGGCCTTCAGGAGGCCTTGTTACATGCATAAAACTACTTGAATAGGACGCTCCAGAAAAAAAATCACATAGGCAAAATCATGGCCTTGAGGCTTAACGCTCAGATTTTTAAAACAATTGTAAGGATATGTACAAACAATACAGTACTACTCCTTAGTGCACAAAGCACCCAGCTGAGCAGAGAGAAGTGGCCCATTGCATGCAAGGAGATACCACAGCCTTCACTTACAGACCACTGTTGGACTAAATCACAACTGGGCTTAGTTTTGGATGCTTCCTGACATCTCTGACCATCGCTTAGAGTCCACGGATTGAACAGAAGCTGCACTGCTTTCTAAATACAGATGTAAAAGTGCATTTCTTCTACCTGTGCTGCATTCGTAACTGCACTGATGTGCTAAGTCCGTCACTCAGTTTAGTCCATTTCAAAAAAGCATACCTGGGTCTGATTGGAATCACAACTTGTGATACTAATGGGAATTTAAAGCCACTTTTGCTGTCCCTTCCATAGTTTGTTAAGATGCTGTAAGTTACATGTATTTGCTGGGTGCCTCCGGAAATCAGTTTCCGAGAATAGGCTCAAGAGATCCATAGTTCTCCCAGGTACAACTCTCCAATTTTCTCCCTTCTCTTTCAGTTTTGTGTCACGAAAGGGGACCCACTGTAGGCAGTGACTATTCTCATATTTAACAGGTACTTAGTGAAGGGCTAACACTGTGGTAGTTTGGTTCAGAAATGTCTAGTCCAAGTTTGATCCATTTTTCTTAAATGTAAAAGCAGCAGTTGTAATCAGTTTGAAATCATAATCATTTGCAACCATTTTAAAATTGTATTCTTCTGGTGAACCAAAACTCTGAAATTCACCATCATAAATACTTATTGTTGCTTTCTATTTCAGTATCTATGCCATTGCACTTACTTAGAGGGGCTCACATAGACTGTACCTTATTATTAAAAATACTTTAAACATCTAGATTTGCTTTCAGCATCCCTGTAAGAATAAACTTGCATCCAATCCCCTGATCCCAGAAAGGGGTATGCATCTGTTCATTCATGCCTGTGTCACTGTGTCACTTGGGCCTAAAATGTCAAGGGATACTCACAGGACAGCGTGTCCAGAATTTTAATATTCTTACACTGATCAATAGAATGTACCGTACCACACTGAAAAAAAAAATACATTTTGAGGCAATAAAGCTACAACAAAAATAAATGCGTCTACTTAAGTCATTTCAGCGCACAAAACTAATCGTGAGCCATAGAGCAAGATCCCGGCGTGCACGAGGTGAGACTCGCTGATACTGCCAAATTGCTCGCGCAGTTCATGGCTAATGCATGCCTTTTGCTTAGAGCTAGGGCTGAGGGTCTGGACAGCCTGCAAAGACCCAGCCAGGGGATCCCTGCCATTAGAGCCACTGTAATACTGCTCTTCACATCATGAGTTTCAGCAATTGTTTAACTGATATAAAATCTTGCTTTACTGCCCAAATGTTGCAGACACAAACTATACAAAGCTCCTAACAATTAGACCCTGTCAAATAAAGCAAAAACTTCTATTATGACATAAGGGAAGTCAAAGATTCATCTATTAGATTTTTCCAGGAAGACTTAAGGATTGAGCCCTACAATACCACAGAATTAACAGTGTCAGCGCATTTGTCCTTCTGCAAGCTCTGGGGTACTTTCACCATGGATTTTATAGTATTAATGGGCTCAATATACAAATCCCAGTCAAAATCAAAGGTCAGGAGAAACTGTGAAGAAATGCAATAATCAAGGAAAGTAAAATTTCCTAAAAGTAATGTTCCAGTTGCTTGACCGTGCAGGTAACAAGGCCAAGCCTTCCATTTGCTCTTGCACCACAGTAATGGTGCAAGAAAATAGTAATTCCAGAGCGGACAAGCTTGCGGCATGAAAAATGGGCTGTCATACAAACCCGGGCCACGTGCCAGGGCCAGGTAAACTCTATTAGCCAATGTGCTGGGATACATTTCAATGTCTTACTGAGGGAGGAAAAAGGAAACAGCATGACAAGGATTTGCAATTGTAGTGAATAAAGTTGGCAATAATAATGGCCTTTAGCTGGCTTGGGGGAGAGAAACTGTACAGAAGAAGGGTACAAGCAGGAATTTGCATTAGCAGAGAAAAATCCTGATAGGACCCTGTGTATGTAATGGCCAACAGGAAGATCCCACTTTCTGCAGAGACGCCACCTCTGAAGCCAATGTCACTGCCCATACCGAACAAGGAGGAGAATATCCCTTCTCTCCCTACTTTAACTGTTCAGGTGCATTCCTCACATTTTCCAATTATGCCATGAACTACAAATCTTGCTCTATTTTGGGTATCACTGAAGACAGCTATTGCAGTACATTCAGCACCAGAAGTGCAAAAAAACCCAAAGTAATATCCTCAATACGTATCTTAAGTTTTCTAACACAGAAAGAAAACTCTTCTCAATTTCCACTGCCGCAGGCCACAGATACCTGCCTGACAGCAGGCTTTTCACCTATGCTGTCACTTAAGACCATTAATCTCAATGTTGATTTTACTGGCTTATTACATTAATGTTTATATTCTGATATTTCAGTTCCCATTTACATAGAGTTATTCTTCATCTTCTGCCAATCTTGCTAATAGAGAAACTGGCAATACTGCAGCATGGCATATATTTTTCCTACTACAAGTCAAAGTAAAAATTAAATATATACATGCAAAAGAACAAGAACTGTTCTATTAAGAACAATTCTCTACGTTAGGATGTTATTTGCTTCTCCTTCTTCTTTAAAATCTTTGAAAGAGTAAAATGAAAAGTAAATGATTCAGTCTTCTCAAAATTCAGACAAGAAATACAGTAGATAGATGAACAAAAACATTTCAGTAAATTTCAAAACACTTGAAATTTATCATATGAAGTGCAAAAATACTACTCTTTTATATAGTTCTTTTTTTTTTTTCTTATAGCTATATTTTTTTCTAATTTAAAAGCACACTTTTTCGGGTATATAATATCAATTGTTTACAGTAAGGCCTTGTATTACTTAATGCTCCTAATACTTAATTTAAATGACTCTTGCTTTACATCCCTTTTGCTCTTGGGATATCAAGGCTCAGGGAATATGTGATTTTGCCAAGGTTGTCTGGACAGATCTTCAGGCAGAAAGAACTAACTCACGTGTCCCGATTTCTAACCCACTAGAACAAACAAACCATAGTTTAGATGCTAAGAAGATGCTACTTAAATTACATCAAACTGACTTAATGACAAAATCTTCTCAATCCATGACCCTGAACACATTTGAGAACAACATAGCAGCTTTCCCCGTAAACACAAGATG